TAGCAGTCACAAGAAACGTAACATCAGAAATGCTACAGTATATACTCACATATCACCTGAGAGAGAATCTAGCAGGGAATTATATTCTGAATATAAGTACAATACAACAGAGGTAAGGGGTGTGTGCTGATTACAGCTCGTTGCCACACCCAAAACATGACAAACCACCTCCGGGACGAGAACCTGAGTGCAGCCATGTGGCGGCTGATACCTCAGCACTGAGTTTTGTCCGGTGGCTGGAGTGCCAATCCTGCCACCAGCCCCCAAATTTCCCTGTAAGTTGGAGGACCTCCTCATAGGGCACAATACAAAAGCATGAAAGAAAATATAGGAGTCCAACCCGCTTCACAAAGGTAGGGGTTAATGATGGATTGAGGTTAGTCTGGGGGACAAATTTTTAGTTGTTCTAGCATTTATTATTGTTCCATTATTGATTTCCGAGTTTCCTTGAACAGTTGCTTACACTATACAAAATCATAATGTGAATTGCATAACTAAGTGAATTTTTTGAACCACTTTCCAAAGGTACACTAAGCGCTGTGTCATCGGTTGGCATGTAATGTGCGGGTGATGAAGTAAACATGGATTATCACGATTACTCAGTGAAGTGTATCAGCTTGAGGGCAGGAATAAGCTCAGAAAATAAATCAGCCTGAATCTATTTCCCCTTCTCAGAGGACTTCTTTGTATAATCAGACATATGTCACATAAAAGCCAGCAGTTATTTCTTTTCATTAGCTATACGGCGTGGGTTTGAGATGCTGTGTGTGGCACCACTCTACAGTTAACAAGCTGTGGACCTCACCACTGCCACATACTTAGTATATCCTAACAGGAGAGAATGTCTATAGGTTCCCCATATAGGCACTTTCCGCAGTTATACTGAGGATTCATATATGCAGGGGATGGCATGGTGCCTTATGAGGGGGGGGGGGGGGGGTAATGTCATCCCATACCTCTGGCACTGAGGTTACATTGCTGGTACTCGCATAGTCACACACTATGGACAGATCAGACAACTGACTGCCTGTTTTTGGACAATGAGAGAGACACAGAGTGCTGATGAAGCTTCCAAACATATGGGGAGAACATGCAAACTGCCCCACCCCCCCCCACTTCCCCCCACCCCACACACACATGCCCAGCGGGGGAGGGAGTCAAACCAGCAGCCCTGGAAATGTAAATGAGCTACTGTGCTGCTTCTTCTTCTCCCATAACCACTTATATAGTACAGGGCTGACATTTTGTAAAGTTTATACATTTTCTTATTCCACAGGCTTTGTATTAATGTGTTGCATTTGTATTAAATCTGTTACTGTAAAGTTTATAACTGCTTCATTGGATAATTTAATTATCAGTTCACCTAGGTCGGTTACTGCAGCATGGAATGTTGTGCATTTTCTGACCCTTTCAGAAATCCATAGGAAAGACAAGCTTGATAAAATCCTGACTGTATGAATATTTTTTGAAAAATACAACTTATGATTCCCTAACCCTAACCCTAACCCACAGCTCATGTGGATGGTGGATATGGATTCGCTCCCATAGGTGCTGGGGCTGCTTAACTCATGCTAACCCTTGACCCTTGTCTTTGTCTTCAGTTACCTATACTGTATACTGGTGTTTACACCAACAAGGCATCTGTCACAATCTACATTAGTTTGAAACATTTCTTTTAATATGAATCAATTTTTGTGGGTGGTGCCTACATTTTTGACTTTTATATACAGTAAGTTCTTATCATGAGAAAGTCCAATCAACATCATCACAGCTTTTCCCTTCAATGAACAACATCTGTGTGGAGTCCAGCCCACACTTCCTCCCTCGTTCGCCTATCAGTGACCTGCTGCTCTGTAGGCTTTGTCTAGCAATGCAACATGCATGGATGGATGTTGCATTCACTGGACTAAAGCTGCAGTACTATAAATTCCAAAGATCCAGTAGATGTTGCTGAAGAGAGGAGGAAGACCAGGAGATATCACCATATACAAGTTCCTACTGAATGGGACACATTGTTTTGACCAGTGAGTCTCTGGGGATGCCTTGAAGGAGCGATGAATCCCAAGTATAACGTAATGCGCTTGTGCAATAATCTCCAAAGTAAAAAAGATAAAAAGGGATGAATTGTCAGTGCTACATATCAGCTATAAGTAAGCCCTTTCTCCATGCCAATGAAATATGCAGCTAAATTAGCCAATGAACCTAATCAACAAATCTCCTATAAAGGAAAATAATAAGGATCATGTAACCTCACTAGGATTAGAGAGACTGGGACCAGTGCCCTGGAGCCACACATGGGGTGGGGGGAGCCTTCAGCAAAGCTCCAAAGAGTTACATGGGCCTGCCCTTCTGCCCGGCAGTCGAAAACATGGGCCTTGTTGGACATGGAATTTTACTTCTTTGTTGGCAAAGGAGCCTGAGCTAGTGTGGGAGGTAGAGAGATACTGACTAGATATAGTTGGGCTCACCTCAATGCACGGCTCAGGTTCTCAAAGCAAATTTCTGGTCTTATTCAACTCTGGGGTTGCCCTGGGTGAGAGGCACCAGGCAGGTAAGGGGCCAGTGAATGAGAGGGTTGCCTCCCTTCAGCTTTGAGTCAGGGGACAGGCTGTTTTATGTGCCTATTCACTGAGCATCAGTTCAGAGTATCTGGCCTTCTTTGAAACCTTGGATGGGGTGCTGGAACGCGACTCCTCTGTGGACTATATTGTGGGGGACTTCAATGATCATAAGGATAATGACAGTGAAACCTGGAGGGAAGGAATGGCCTGTTCGATCAGAACCTGAATAATGCTCTGTTATCGGACTTTGGTGCTAACCCCAGTTTGTCCCTAACAAACACCATATAGCGTGTTTCATAAGTGTGCTTGGCACCAGAACACCCTAGGCTGCAGCTCAATGATTGATTTTGTAATCATATCAGATTGGTGACCATAGGTCTTGGACACTTAGGTGAAGAGAGGAACTGAGCTGTCAAGTGATCACCACCTGAAAAATGCCGGATAGACCTGGTACACTCAAACATACAATGAGGGTGCGCTGGAAGCATCTGGCAGAGACTATCCAGGAGATCTTCAGCTTACACCTTTGGCAGAACTTCTTTTGCATCCTGATGTAGTATGAGCCTGAAAGGCCTATGTTCTATGTCTCCATTGCTGAGGCGGTTGTGCAGAGCTGTGGCTGTAAAGTTGTTGGTGCCTGTCACTGCGGCAACTTCTGAACCTGGTGGTGGACGCCAGCATTAAAGGAAGCAATCAGGCTGAAGAAAGAGACCTTCCAAGCTTGGTTAGCTTATGGGACTCTTATTTTTGGTAAGCCTCAAAAAGATTCTGGCAACCCATCAGGTGAATCAGGCTTTATCCATACTGTTTACATCAAGAATGGAAAGCTGTCTGCCTTTGGATTGGCAAACTAGGGTGGTTGTTCCAATCTTTAAGAAAGTGGACCGGAGGGTACTGTATGTTCCAACTTCATGGGATCACACTCCTCATCCTCCCTGGGAAGATCTATGCCAGGATATTAGAATTTAATGATCAATTGTCATTGTGGACACTCCACAGCACAACAACAAAGGGTGCTTTTCCACCGCACAAAGTACGGTACTTTCGGTACGGTACTTTCGGTACTTTCGCTTTTCCATTGACTACCGGTCGAGTACCAGTACCGAAAGTGCCAAACCAGCTGGGGTACTTCTTTGGTACTTCGGTACGTTTGGGGTGGGACAAACGTATTTGCTGTCAATGGGTTATGCAAATAGCCTGCGGCTGAAACACAAAATACACACAGCGAACAGCGAGAAATGAAATAAAAAGCAGTAGAAACAAAAATATAAAAAAAGTAAATTGGAAGAATGGACAAACAAGGAAACACAGGCTTTAATCGCCATATGGTCGGATGGACAGATCCAGCGGGATTTGGATGACAGGACTCGGAATAAAAAAGTATTTGCCGTAATAGCAAGCCGCTTGGAAGGAATGGGCCACACGCGAAACACCGAACAATGTCGCTTGAAAATCAAAAAACTTGAGCAGGACTACAGGAAAGTAATAATAACATGTTTGAATTCAGTGAAAGAAATACCGCGTCGCACTTTGTGATGATGTCAGTCAGGGGCGATCACTGATGATGTCATTTGGCGCCAGTACCAGTTTTTACGCCAGTGGAAAACCAACACAAAAGAAGTACCATACTTTTGGTACTTTATGGAGGTACCAAAAGCACCGAAAGTACGGTACCTGGTGCAGTGGAAAAGCGCCCAAAATGTGTCATCTGCATTAAACCCATATGTGACAATGTGACATAGCAGGGGGCAGCTAATTCAGCGCCCAGAGAGCAGTGCTCGGAGGTGGTACCATGCTCAGGGTACCTCAGGAGTGCCTTGTTGGTCAGGGATTCAAATCTGCAATCTTTCGAATATAAGTGTGCTTCCCTAACCATTAAGCCACCACTGCCCATTTTTGAGGCCCTCACAAAGAGCTGGTCCAGTGTTCCTTGACCAGGATGGACATTGCATTACTCCTTCTGGATCCAAGGGTTAACAAATGGATGGGTCCAGCTCATGGGAATGCCCAACCAACCTACATACAACCATGTCCCTCAGGGGGTCCTGTAGGGGGTGCTATGGGAGCATGGGTTTTGTTGTTATGGGCCATTAGGTCTCTCCAACTGGGAGGAGACCTTGGAGCAGACCCAGGACATATTGGAGAGATTGTATCTCTTGGCTGGCTTGAAAACGCCTTGGAATCCCCCCAGAGGAGCTGGAGGTGGTGGCTTGGGAGAGGGAGGTCTGGGCATCCCTGCTTAGACTGCTGTCACTAGTAGCCGAATAAGTGATGGAAAATGGATGGATGGATGGATGGATGGAATAACCAATGAATTACCTTTTGCACACAGTTTTCATGTACATCTGATTCATCTTCAACACATATAACAAATATTCAGATTAGTGTGTTTTTCTTTGCAGAGGCTGGAAAGTCTGATTATATTGTGTGTGCTTTCAGGATTTTGGCTACTGCAGGGGCACATATGAACATCCCTGTGGACCTGCGGACCCTCAGGGCGGTACGAGTCCTCAGGCCCCTCAAACTTGTTTCTGGGATCCCTAGTGAGTGCTTCAGTATACATATTAGCCAGTGATCCTAAAAATTCAAACATATCCCCATCTACTTACCTGTGAAGTCCTGCCATTGCTCTTTTCTCTTTTCATGAGATGATTTCTCTGGAATTCTAGAGTTAGTTGCATACATTTGTCTAAAGTGGCATGATAAATACCATTATAGAGTTTAATATAACTGTACCCCCATTTAACCACTATAATACTACTAAGAATTTTTTAAATAACTAAGTATGCCAAACATGGAAAAACCTCTTCATCTAGTATTAGGCATACACAAGAGAAAGTAAATGCATACTGTTATTCTCCATAGTAGTCAAAAATATATGAGGCCACTATTTGATAAACTATCATACAGTTTTAGGTCTTGTTTGCATAATGAATGATATTAAAATTGTTACTGAAAATGTTCCCAGGGAGGATCATTCTTGGAGAGCCGTGCAGCCCCAGTATTTCGGACAGCAGCCAAGTTACGACTGAACTTGTGTTTGTTTGTTGTAAGGCTTGCAGATAGTCCTGAAGTCTATAATCAAGGCCATGGTGCCACTGCTGCAGATCGGTCTCCTGCTCTTCTTTGCCATCCTCATGTTTGCGATCATTGGCCTGGAGTTCTATAGCGGGAAGCTGCATCACACCTGTGTTCCCTCACAAAACATTCTCGGTAAGATGGGTAAGATTCTCTGTTACCTGGAGAAATGCATTCTGGGTATTCACAAGTCATATGCTCCTGTTTCTGACTAAAACTTGTTGTTGTGGATTTCAGTATTTATTATTTAAAGGATGTGAAAACTAGTTAAATGAAAAATTGTGTATTGTGTCTTGGGTATGAATAGTTTGCCCATCTTTTTATGTGTATTTTATGTTTTCTTAATTTACTTAATAGTTAAAGTGGAAAATGTGACGTAAATGCACTTTAATTTATTATTGATTCTGTTCTGTTCCATTCAATGATGGTTAGTATTAAATCGTTCTACATTAATTCCTTCATTGACTGTATCATTCGGTTTCCCCCCATAGTGCAAAAACATGCTGAGGTTAATTAGAGTTACCAAATTGCGAATGGTATGTGTGCCCTGCAATGGGCAGGCACTCCATCCTGGGTTGTCCCCTGCCTTGCGCNCTGCCTTGTGCCCTGCAATGGGCAGGCACTCCATCCTGGGTTGTCCCCTGCCTTGTGCCCTGCAATGGGCAGGCACTCCATCCTGGGTTGTTCCCCTGCCTTGTGCCCTGCAGTGGGCAGGCACTCCATCCTGGGTTGTTCCCTGCCTTGTGCCCTGCAGTGGGCAGGTACTCCATCCTGGGTTGTTCCCCTGCCTTGTGCCCTGCAGTGGGCAGGCACTCCATCCTGGGTTGTTCCCTGCCTTGTGCCCTGCAGTGGGCAGGCACTCCATCCTGGGTTGTTCCCCTGCCTTGTGCCCTGCAGTGGGCAGGCACTCCATCCTGGGTTGTTCCCTGCTTTGTGCCCTGCAATGGGCAGGCACCCCATCCTGGGTTGTTCCCTGCCTTGTGCCCTGCAATGGGCAGGCACTCCATCCTGGGTTGTTCCCTGCCTTGCACCCTGCAATGGGCAGGCACTCCATCCTGGGTTGTTCCCTGCCTTGTGCCCTGCAATGGGCAGGCACTCCATCCTGGGTTGTTCCCTGCCTTGCGCCCTGCAATGGGCAGGCACTCCATCCTGGGTTGTTCCCTGCCTTGTGCCCTGCAATGCGCAGGCACTCCATCCTGGGTTGTTCCCTGCCTTGCGCCCATAGCTTCTGGGATAGGCTCCAGACCCTGACGACCCTGCATAGGACAAGCGGGTACAGAAAATACATGGATGGATGATATGTCTGCTACATATGGTATTTTAAGTCAAATTTTGCAGAGAGTCCTGTCAGAGGTAATAAAAAAGCTACTGATTCACAATTCATTCTGTACTTTGTACTTATACACTTTATTATCAGATGGATGTGTTTTATGTGATTATTTTTAAAATCTATGGGGCTTTTTTACATTGGGCTCTCTAGGGTTTGTGTTTTAAATATATTATTGCTTAGAGACAGATGAATATACTTATTGAGGAACTTTCAGGATATTTTGGTTGTTTCAATGCTAGATAATTTCACTGAAGATATCTTTATTCTTATCTGTTTTAATTTTTCATTAAGATTTCATATCACTTCCACTTCAAGGACAAAACTTCCTTTTTACAGAGAATGAGACGGTGGATTCCTCAGAAATAGAATTTGCCTGTGGAGTAAGGAAGTGTCCAGACAAGTATGACTGTATCGGCACCTGGATTGGACCGAATGATGGCATCACCCAGTTTGACAACATCTTGTTCGCTGTGCTGACTGTTTTTCAGTGCATCACAATGGAGGGTTGGACTGCAGTCCTCTACAATGTAAGTTTTTTTATCCTTATGATGGAATGCCTTGTTTTACCATGAAAAGTTTTACATGTTGACATTATTTTTAGTTCTATGCTTGTTCCATAATGTTTAATCCAGCACAGAGTAATGCTAAGTCTATGCTAGGAAGCAAAGGGACAAAGCAGGGAATATCTTGAATGGAATGCAAGTCCATCAGGTGATGTTCAGCCACATGATATATTCTACTTAGAAATGCCACTTTGGACTGTGGGTAGAATTTGGAACACTCAGAGGAAGCCTTAGCACAGGGAAAATAGCCAAATAGTTTTGCTTTTATTTCTTTTGTTTGACAAATAGGTGGATATATGTGATACAGAAATTATCGTATGCTATCTCAGATAAAATGTAGGACAGCATCTCGTTCCTTTACCACAATACATATCTGTATGTATATATATATATATATATATATATATATAACTAAAAATACTGTTCCACTAGAATTGTGGCTTTGCTGGCTCTTAAATCCTAAAATTGGGCTGTTAAACAATATCATGCCATTTATTCTACTGATTGTTCACTCACCAGCCTGCTGCCATGGAAACGCCATCTGTGCCTGTTCTAAAGTATCAGTCCTAAGTCAATTAGTTGCGAACACATGCACATGTTAAAGCTACACTGATGCCAAATGAGGATTAAATGGTTTCTTTGTTCAGATGACATAAGCACCATTAGCTTTTATCAATCAGAACTATAAGTGATTTATACCCATCCAGAAACAAAGACACTATAAATGTTATATGTTGACAACCATGATAATGTGACTGTTTGTGCTGTTACTAGCCTTGTTTTTCGTGAATGGTGCTGATCTTTGAGGATTGTTCTGGAACTCCTGAGGCACACTTCTGAAGCTATCTTTACTTCTTTGTTTCTTATAATGTATTACATGGAAATTCATAATAATCTGTGACATCTTTTAATAAATCCAGTCATACAGCCACATTTTGTTGCTTCAGCTGTGTCTCAGTCTGTGCACACATGCAGGGAGCAGAAATATAAAGTACAGATATTTTATGGTTTCCACTGAAATAAAGGTAGCTGCTTA